TGGAGCCAGGTGGAGCAGCAGCTGTGTCCAGCTGCTTACTATCCCCACATCCCACCGCTGCTGCTAATGGTGGTAGCAGCTTCTCTGGGGCCAAGGCCCTGCATGGGATGATTTCCCCAGGCCCCCATACCCTACTCAGGCAGCCACCCCAAATTTGGTAGGTCCTTAGTTATAAATCTTTAAATCAAAAGACAAGGCTTGGTGCCTATAAAGCCAGACCTTAAAATAAATCTAACCCCTTCAAAAGTAACAAAATCCCCAGAAAGGATTAAATAAACAGGAGACCAGAACAGGCAAAGACATATTTGGACCAGCCAAAAAATTGTGCACTGAAGAAAAATCAACTGAGGAGAGGCTGGGGGCAGATAAAGTCCTTCACCCTCAGGAACAAGTAGGAAGTATCCTAGAACTTTCTGTGCGAAATCATGGCCCTGTTTGAGTACGAGCCTTACAGGGCTGGGGTTGCTCAACATCTGAGCATTAGGCTCCATAAATACTCATTATCATTGCACTTTCCATTGGCTGATCCATCTATAGATATTGTTATGCATTTTTTATTGCTATAACAACATCCTACAATTGGCGTTGGATTAGGCCTTACTTTAGCTGACTGATAGGACTTTCAACATGGGCAACTAACTTGATGTTTAACACACTGCTCTTGTACCCCACAGGAACAAAGCAACAAAAAAATTACTAAGATTTTTACATCTTAATCAAAACTGTACATAAGGGGTGTGCATCAGGATCTGGGGGAAGGCCTGTTCACCAGAGCACCCCAAGAGATGACAAGGACCAATGGTCACAAACTCCTGCAAGACTGTTTTAGGCTGGACTTATGGAAAAAACTTCTTTACTGTCCAAGCCCTGGAATTGACTCCTGCCAGAGGTGATACAAGCACCTAACTCTGGACTCTTAAGAAACACTTGAATGTTTATCTTGCTGTGATCCTTTGACCCTAGCTGACTTCCTGCCCCTTGGGCAGGGGCTGGACCCTATGATCTTGCGAGGTCCCTTCCAGCCTAATGTCTATGAAAACAAAACATAAGACTTTTTTCCACTTAGTCTCTAGAACAGGATGCATAACATTTCCCCACAAACAACAAAAATACGTTAGAGAGAGGCTAGCTCCAAAGGTGGCTTGGGATACATGGTCATCTTGCCAAGAATTGGTTTGAGCTGGACACCAGGGAGGAAATCAAGCTCAAGGTCATGTCATTGTTGGTTCAGCTACACTATTTTAACAAAGTGGATGACAGAAGTTGCGGAATGACATGCAAACAGCTCTTACAAGACTAACGTAGCTAGGCTACATTTTTATAAGGTACCTGAGGTGGAATTTCTCGCTCTTCCCGTCTTGCAGAGGATACTCCTCTATGACATCTTGAATCAAAGATGCCTGCTGCCTGGGTGTTCTGGAGTATGGCAATGTTCCCATGTGGCTAAACATATCACAAGATCTTACAGGAATGGTCCCCTTTTTCTTCCTTGGGAGGGTACCATGGATAGAAATGTCTTGAAAGGAGTCTAAGTGATGCTCAGTCAGAGACGATTTACTGCTCAAGTCCATGGAAGAAGCCAGTGAAAACTGGTGGTTCATCTGCATGTTTCTGGGAAGACTTGCAAATTTTCCTGTAGCTAGCATTCTTAGTTCTGAAAAGACAAAAGTTAACCATAGCATATCAATCACAACTGCTTCCATTTTAAAAGAAAATAGAATAGTTACCCATGGCATCTTAAATTTGCTATTTTAGATTAGAAGGCAGGCAATTGCCATAGTTTTAAAATACATCTTAAATTATAACTTAATCATAAAGCACCCAATCCCACGTACATACATGTTTAAGTTTTCCTCATTTGAAAAGTCCCTTTGCTTAATTCAGAGATTTCGTATATGCAAAAACAGGCTCTGGGCCATAAGCCTTGAAGGCATATACAGATTATCTCCTTATCTCTTGTTTATACCCCGAGTTTAGGAGATGCTTCCACTTGAAAGGTCAAACATTAAACTAGAATCATTAACTAAAGCCAAGTTGCTGGAAAAAAGATAGATATGTTAACTGTACAGACCAAGACTCAGTTAAAGACTGCATATCTAAAACTTAGTAATGATCACAGCAGAAAAGATGCACTATTATAGGAGACAGACTTACTTAAGTAATAAACACATTACAGGAGCACATATTTCTAATAGCTTGTAAGCTAACGGATTCTATCCAAAAGATAAGAACAGAAGGAGATTACAAGAATTCTTTCCAATGAGTTCAGTTCACTGCTGGCATTAGTGTGAAACAACTCAATTGAAATTAATGGAGCTTTATTCTTACACTAAAAGTTAAAGCCTCTTACAATAGAAGTATTTCTGTCTCAAATATGGCAACTTGAACAAAATTAGAGCCCAAGGTAAATTCATAAGATGCAATTCAGTAAGACTGTTTTGTGCTCTTCCAGCAGTGCAAGGCTGTGTTTAAGCTTCCTTTAAACTGGCTACTATAACAGGGTGGCCTGCCTCTTCAAAGACCAGTGGACTCAAGTCCAGCCAGGGTTATACCATTATTAGAATCAGATGGGAACTGATCAAGTACTTTTGGTAATGGGCTAAAATACCTACAGCCTCTAGCAGACCCTGAAAGCAGAGGACAGAAGCAAAGCAGCACCTAGGAGTAGTCGCCTTAGAGTAGGGAAGTCAAACTCACCCAGCCCCCCAGGTCTGATTAGTGGGGCTAATGGCAGTAGCAGCACAGGGGTTAACAAAGCTATTGCTCGCCCACTTGCTGCCAGAACAATCAGAAATATATCCCCACTCCCACTTACCCCATCCCCCAAATTCCTGCCCCTTCAGGATTTCTGCAGGCTGGATCTTTGACATCCCTGTCCTAGAGGAGTAATTTTGACTTTCACTTAAATTTAAGAACACTATTTTTATCCTTCAGCAGGAAAGAGTGGCAGAGCAAAGGTGTGGCATGGAAACAGCCCAGCTGCCTTACATTTAGGGAAGCAGATGCTTACAGCTGCTTAGGGATTTCTCTGATTTAGAGAACTGCACAGGTGGTATAGTGATGGCATCACCCACCCTGTATCCCCCCCACACACTGACCTCCAGACACAGCTATCAGGGGTGTTTTCAAAGTGCTGCCTTACTCCTGCCAACTCCAACACCGCTGGGAAATCAGGCATAATCTGAACCAACACTAAAGCTGACCTCAGTTTCATCAGAGCCAGAACTTAAAAATACCTTTACTATTCTCCTATCCTTCAGGTGAGCCAAGATGAGTTCCAATATTAATTAAGAATCCAGTCCATGGACTCCACAGATGCACTAGTGACAAATTACATGTCCCTGAAACCTTCTACCTTCTTTTATCTGTTGTACTTAGCAAGGTATTTACTGTAACTCCTTGATAACAGTTTATAATGTAAAAGTAAAAAATTCTAAGTGGTGAGGCTCTGTAGAATTCCTCTTGCAAATCATATACTATTTATAAAAAGGTGTGCTATTGCAGATGGATCCAATTTAAATAAATTAAGAACACACACATATACTTTCAAGAGATCTCTCTGAAGTTACAATGTACTCCCTCAACAGGAAACACTAAATCTTATGTCCTCAAATTGCTTTGCCTTCTTCCAGAATCTAGATTGGGGAAACAATTTGTTTGTTAGCATCAAAAATGCTGCATATCCATTCAGTATTTAATTACACTATACAGTCAATTTACATTTTTAATTACCCATGTCAACTTAATCAGTCCAGAGGTAGGGTCCAATAGGGAAAAAGCTTGATTTAGTGCCAGACTCCCAACCGGGACTAACTGAGATAGCTTAAATATTACATTTAGTGTGGAGAGTCATGAAAAATGCTCAGTCAAGAGGGTTACTTATCTCATCATTAGTGCTGAACTTTCAAAAAGCTTAAAGGAGTGAGGCATTCAAATTCCATTGATTAGTAAGAGCCCAGCTTTGCCTATCTTGCACAACAGGAACAATTCTTTAGAGTTGTCTCTAAATTTGCAACTAGTGATATTATATACCCACCTTCCCAAAGTGCTGATCTTAGATTTCAAGATTAAGTACTTGTATATAAGTGTGCTCTTTCCACTCTCCCCAGGTCAAACAGATGAGGGGATTTTCTTCAGGTTTTCCTGTAAACTCACTTGTTAACTTCATATGCTCTGTCATATGTCCACCTCTCCCCCTGCACCAAATTAAAACTGTGGTCATCCCAACATACAATAAAAGAATTCTCAAGCTACTGTATTTTTTCACATGCCACAATGTCCCCAAAATAAGACATAAACCTTATTTTTGGAAGGCAGAGTGTAGAAGACAAAGGTTTTCAGTCATGGTCAACTGTGTGGCAGTATCCAGGAAGTGGAGCATCCCAAGAAACACTCCATAAGAAAACAGTAAATTCCTGGTGTGGCAGGACACCAAGGAGGCTAGGCTGCAGACCCTTGCAAGAGCAGTAGCCAGACCATTACTCCTTTACTATAGATACCTCTTTATATAAGTTCCTATAAATAATAAAGTGTTATTTCCATAAACCATCCTCAAGATACTACAGTCTGTGTGCAGCAGCTCACTTGCCCCAATGCTGCTTCAAGGACATGCTACAGTGCTCAACAAACCGCTACTGCAAAATTTCTTAGTGGTTGAGAGAGGGTTAGGAATGGACTCTGCCCCTTCTGTCTGCTACATCACAAAGAAGTGGCAGCTATTAGAGCAGTGTCTGCATGCTTCTATCTCAGCAAAGAAAAATCATCTTCCCCACTTAAGACATGCGCCCCAATTTGGGAGGGCTGATTTTGGAGAGAAAGGTGTGTGATAGACAAGTAAATATGGTATGTGGCTTCATCTACTAGCCAACATTACAATATAGACACACAACAGTCCTAGATTTCAGACCGCTTCATATTTAGAAAAACAAAATTAAGACAAAGATGACCTTTTTATCCATCTATCCAATACCCTTCATTATCAAACATTTTGATTTTTTAATCAAACAACCTGCAAATAAGGTATTTGCATCAATAACAATATTTCTGTGAAACAAGAATGTAGATCTAGTGAACTAAAAAAAAAAAGTACTGCACTTCTCAAAACTGCCCTGTCATCTAGGATTATCTACAACCCATTGCCCATAGTCCTTGTCAGAATATACAAGTGCAACAGGTAGGAACTCAAGTTTTCACTTAGCTTCTTTGAGAAGCTAGGTGAGGTATCTGAATCTGTTAAAAGCCTGTCCATCTGAAACATATAAACAGCTATAATTTTCAACGTATAAAAACATTGAAACAGTTTCTTCCCCTCATAATAAACTGACCCAATTTATTTACAAATATGTCTGCTAGAATTTTCACTGGGAAAGGGAACAGGTTGGATTTGCTACTCCATGACGGACTCGTAAGTGCAATCAATATTCATCAACATAGATTAGAAATCCGCTCAGTAATGCAGTCCTTGATAAATTATTCCCCCCCCCACGAATGTAAACACTACAAGGAATGAGCCTCTTCACTTGAAAATCCTGGAATGTCTCAAATATTTCAGTGTATGATTCAAACAAGAATGTTTGAATTTATTGTAGATACGGAGTTAGAAAACTACACTTACAAAAGAACAGTCTTTGCCTGCCAGTGCAGGTTTGCTCAACAGCTGAAGTGATGGGTCAACAGGCTACAGGTCTATGAACAAAAAGGCTAAGTACAGACATTCGATAGGTTAAAAGCGGCCACCCAATTTAAATATAGCCTGTCCCAATGCCAACTTTACACTTACAGACCCAGTCTGAACCTCTCCCTGATGCCCCTGAATGTCTCTACTTAGCCAAAGAGCCTAGAACCTAGTTGCTATAGAATCAATGAGTGGGAAGGGACCTAGACAGATCACTGAGTCCGACCCCCTGCCATGGGCAGAAAGGAGCACTGGGGGTAGCAAGGGTCATAAGACCCCAGCCAGGTGCCTATCCAGTCTCCTCTTGAAGATTTCCAGAGAAGGTGAGAGCACCACCTCTCTGGGAAGCCTATTCCAGGCTCTGGCCACCCTTACAGTGAAGCAGTTCTTCCTAATATCTAACCTAAACCTATCCTCCCTCAGCTTGTGGCCATTGTTCCTAGTGACTCCAAGGGGGGCCCTGGTGAACAGACTTTCCCTGAGTCCCTGCTGCTGGCCCCTGATAAGGCTGTAGGCAGCCACAAGTTCCCTCCTCAGTCTCCTCTTGCTGAGACTGAAGAGATTCAGGTCCCTCAGCCTCTCCTCATAGGGTTGGCCACAGAGGCACCCAACCATTTGAGTGGCCTCCTCTGGATCCTCTCCAGGGTCTCCACATCCTTCTTGAAGTGC